GCAGCGTTTGATATTTATATATTCAATTTTCTAATGAGCTGTAAAAACGAACTGCTCTATATTATACACTGGAATGAACCGCATGACCCACTGAGGCTAAAGTGAGCAATAGCAGCTCAGGTCTTACCTGATTGAATGAGGTGCACCAGTACGCTGCAGACGATCAGCTGAGAGACGAGAGCGTTAGCCATGACGTTTTCGCGGCGTATGCGTCGTCGCACGTCTTGATATTCGCCACTTTCTGTTGATCACCGTCTTCAGAAGGAGGTCAACGTTTGATCGCTCACGTCTGAGCTTTTTGTAGCGAAACTTAATGATGAATCCGCTCGGTGGCGGCTGGAAACCGGACCACCCGACGTCCTCTCGTTCATTGAGTGTTTCCTGTTGCTGCGCTGTTGAAAGCCGCTTGAGCTGGATTTTTTCTAGTCTCCATATCGCTTGTAGATATTCTTATTCTGTTCTTACACGACTGCCGATCACAGACCGTATCTCGTTTATCAAAGGGCAAAACCAGTACGTTGGTTTACAGGGGAGAAAAATGCAACGCCTACGGTGTGTACGAATAACTGACAAATTAGCCATCAAATGACTACTCTCTGCCAAAGTTATTGTCCAGTATTAAGGGGTGAAATTATGCGCTCGATGGGAAATTTTGTCCCAGAGACTCTAAACTGAGCTTTTCTCCTGACGGAAAGGTTTCCTACCAATTTTCACTGCTAATTCACCTGGGCAGGAAATTCATTGCAACTTATGTTACTGCCTCAACTACGAAATTAAAAATACTAAGGAGATGAGTTGTATATGATATGAAGCTACGATCACAAGGTTGGTTTACCGTGCATGATTCATCATTGAGAACTTCATTCATTCTTCATTCGTTGATTTGCTCATCCATTTATTTTCATTGGATCCCGTTCCTTGCCAGTCAAGTCAGCAACCGATTCAGGACGCGCATTAGGATTTCATTGCACTTTTCTTGGCGACTGTGTTTCAGACAGACAACAGATTATTGTTTCTGGGGAGCATTAGTTTCCGATGTTGCCCAACAGCCTTGGAGGACTACAAGGATTTGTGCTTTCTCAACTGCTATTTACCTTCTTCGCCAGGTGGCTGCAAGTCGCCCATTCAACCACATGTGTACGATATGCCGATGACATAGTAATAATTGAATTGCACCCAGCCGAGGTATTAGAGATTCAACGAGGCTACAAGACACACTAAACACGCGATTTAATGGAACCAGATCTGTACCCTAAGGATCAACCAGAAGAATAGCGTTCAGCTGTCCTACACGTAACAAACACCAATCATAATATTGGCAGGTGAAGCATCAATTACCATGGAGAACGAATATATACACTGTGTTAGCTCTATTAATTATCAGGACTTGCAGTCAAGCGAATAGTTACAATGGACTGACCACGTCAGATCAGTGCTTGCGAATGTACGCAACAGTTGTTACTTCGTACTCAGGTTGCTGAGATTTTCAGTTCCACCTTCGAGCAAGTTGTTTTCAGTTGCTTGTTGCCAATGATCACTTATTTCAGACCCCCTGGGCTTTCAAAGCTATCCTTCGCAGTGTACTTCTGGTGATCATGGCTATCTCATATGAACAAATAATTATAGCGAGTTTGGCGATTGTTGTTGAGTGACATCGACCATTGATTGCGCAAAAATGTTTCTCACGTCGATTTCAATGCATCTTGGAAGCGAATACTCACTTAATGCCATCCACTGAACCGCAGATCAGTTTTGCCTACGTTCTCCAGGACTTTCAGAGATTCATAGTGGGCGAAGCTAAATTAAATAGAGGCCTGACGTCACAATTTTCACAGCCATAAGGTTTCCTTGTTTATGCAATTGGTCAGACATTGGGATTTCACTTTTTGGCATGAAAATACCGTTTCTCGCTAATAACTTTTTGCTGATTGTTTTTCGTCAACAATTTTGCTGTCCAGGCGAATAAATTTAATTTTATCGACTCATGAAATGTTCCCACGCCAGTGCGAAACCAAAAGGTTCTCTGCTCTCGTATCCGCCGAAGATAATGCTTGCCGTATGATCCTTTGGTTGCTTCTCCCATCAAATCGTCGCATGGTAAATTTTTCACAGGGTAGCATGCCAACAGCAACGTGGTCACGCCCATTGCAAAAAAATAAATCGGACAATACGATAATAAAATCGATCATCGACTTCTGGCGCAAGCTTCTCGCTACTAGGTGTACTGATGCACTCTTCGAAGAAGGTTTTCATAATGTATGGCATTGTCTGCACAAAACCGCAACAACTTCATTCCATTTTTGCTGAAGTCGCTAGGGTTGTTCCTTCCAATCACACTTTTCCACTTTTCAGCATATACTCTGAAATGCACATTAAAACCGCTCTTGAGTATGACGGATTCCGTATTCGGCACTTCACACAGAGCACACTCCCTTTCCTCTAAAAAGTACTCATATTCTTTCTCTGAATTAGGCGCATGGACCTGTAACTAAGTCAAAATCTTAGCCCGATGTGCTTTGAGTCATGTGACTGCTACTCTTTAGTTGACAGGCTTTCATTCCACGATTCTTTCCGCCAGGTTGAATTCCAAATGATCACCATCACCGACCTTAGTGCGTATGGCGATAATGACACCTGAATGGAATGACTAAGTTCAGAAATGCAGCGCGTTAGCGTATTGACGACAGTCAATCCGGTATTCTGGGGCGCCTCATCAACTACCACCTTCCTTTATATCCAGAGCGAGGATACATTTAGATTTCTCACTGAAAGTTTTTGCTAGCGATGCTGTTCGCGTCGAGCCTTTTCTAACATATTATAATGGTATGGCGGTGTCTGTCTCATCGGTTCAGAACGGGTTGTGGCTCCGTTAGTAAAAGATATCTTCGTCGTCATTTAATCGGAATTTTCGGCAACCGTCATTGTGATGCCACGCCTCAGAGGTCAGATGGTTGTAAGCAGGGGGATCTCATCGCCGAATTTTCGCAGGCTCCCTCAGGACCCCGCCAGCCCCCAACAGATTGCACGGCCGTTGGTATTCCCGGCGATACAGAACCGATATAATGTTAGGTGGCGGCAATACGATGAGGGGAAGGGGGCTAAATTTAACGGCGACTTCACCACGGTCTCCAAATCCTCTTTCTTTCACATCTGAACTTGGCAACGAAGGAGTCCATGTCGCTTTTTGATACAAAAATAGCTGTAAATCAAGCAGCAGCTGACGGTGAGGCAATTTTAATTTGATGTTGGTGCTGCTCAAGTGTATTAATAAATAAGAAGACTTTGCCGGCATAATTTGATCTAGAAGATTGTACTTGTTCATCGGAGTCTGGAGTACTATATTGTAAGCTGCAGATAGTGTTAGTGCGAGTGATGTACGAGGTGATGTGTTCCGTGTTCCCCTTCGTTGTTACGAGACGTTATGTTGCCTGATTTTGTGAACGAACACCAAGAACTAACTTATTAGCTATACGTTTTCGCTTGCTCGAGCAGGTAATGAATTTTTTAACGATTGTTTTTGCTGTTTTCTCTGGCTACGATCTTTGCATTGACTTCTGAAGGCCTAATTTTAAGGAAAAATGACCAGCACATGCTTTGTGTTGATAGAGGCAATATTATTAATGTAAGATATCGTTTTTTGGTGATTTTAAGGCTTCGAAGATTCATTTTTCCTAGATGGTACATGGCCAACTTCCATCGTTTAACAGCTGTTGTCTTTCATCGGCTCTTCTCCTCAGAAGCTGATGCGGATGGTCGCTGCTCAAACGTAGTTAACAATTATTTGTGAATAGTCTGTTGGGCTCAAATGCAACATTGTGCGCTTCTGTTATAGACACAGAATCCGGCACAGTTTCCAATGGCGAGTTGATCACTTGGTTATTTCGTAAGAGGCCGGTTTGTTCCTCGACCATAGTATTTCGCATAACTGAAGCGCGTTGCTGTGATGACTGGACTTCGACATCGATACTCAGGTCGTTTGCATGCATAATAATTTAGGTCTTGAGAAAGCTATTTCACTAAAGAATTTCTGGATGGTTTGCGAGTGCTGCTCAAATCTCCTAACATCGAAACTCGTAGCCGATGAACAATTCAGCTAATAAGCTGAGTGAAATTTGTAGACTGCCAGACCGTGAGAATACAGTGGCCATGATAACGATTTCCTGAAGAGTATGGTGAAACCCGTCGAGTAGTTCGCAAAGAATGAAGCCGCTAGAAACTCAGGTTGAAAGCGATGCAGAAATGACGACATCTTGATCTTTTACTTTTACCAGCCTAGTCTGAATATCGGTCAGGTGAAAACTCAGATCAGTGTGAAAATTAGGGACATCGAACCCACGCCAGTCTCCGTCGCTGCCAGCTGGCTGAGGGCGTCGCCGATGTTATGTTCACAACAAACGTCTGGAGGCTGTCGAAACTGCGGTTAGGTTTTCCTTGTGCTGATGCTATTGCATGTAGAGCCTGTCGTCGCTGTGTGCAGTTGTTTCGTCTCCCCCTTAAGGTTGTGAACTTTGAGTTAGCACTTAGCAGAAAAGTGGAGATTGCGTTGGAGGGCAGTTGAGCACCAACGACTGTTTCTTCCCCGTAGCCACGGATCTGTAACGATGCTCAGCCATGCGAGCAAGTTCACATCAAGACCGAATAAACTTACATATATTAAGTTATCGAAAGTCTTCCTTAAATATCAAAGACGCTGGACACATCTTTGTCACAATGGTCTTCAACGCCTGGCAGCTTCTCAACCATATGGATAACATTCAGGCGTTGCGTACCTGTGGAGATGGGGGGTGGGCGTTGCCTTTCTGAAACGAAAGAAATCAAATCAAAGTGCACGAATGAAGGAAGGCAGCCGAACTACGCGACTAAAGAATTCTGGCAAGTGTGAAACAGCTTCATCTAACCCAACAAGCAGACTGCGTTGCAGAATATAGCGGTCGATTGAGTCCAGTACTCAGCATTTACCCATACGCAACCCAGCAACCTGATTCAGCATGGCGAGTCGCACAGTACCCGGAAGTATCTGTACATTGCATCTACTTCCATAATTTCACTTTTAATTTTTAGCTTCTATTTTGTTGTTCACTTTGTCCTTCATTTGTTATACTCTTTGTTTTTCCTGTATTTATCTGGTATACTTTTTCTGCCTCCTCTTACAGCTCAAGCTGCGCATTTTATTTTTAAAATTATTACTGTA